TAATCTAAACGCGTGCATAACCAATCAGAATTAAATCTGTAAAAAAATGATGGTTTTTTTTAACCAGTTAACTGTGGTGCCCAGAATAAAACCATGACAACTATACTCGTCAATAGACAAAATCGTGTCACTTCTCTCCATGACGATTTATGCTCGTCAATAGCACAAAATCGTGTTACTTCTCTCCATGACAAGTATACACGTCAATAGCACAAAATGGTGTCACTTTTCTCCACGACGAGTATACACGTCAAACTCGTTATCAGTTAACACTGGTTAATCGTTATATAAATCTTGTGAAAAATGTTTCATAAATCAAGTATAGTATTATCAATGAGTATCTAACATAATATACATATTATCACACAGATTATTAACGGATTGATAAAGCCCAAACCTACTACGGATTATTTCACATAGTCATATACAAGGTAAATCGTTCTAATTTTGTCGATGAAAGCTTGCAAAAGCTTATCGCGTTCGTCGATCGGAAGCACGTACTTAATTAGAAACGTACGCATCGTTTCGTGCTCACGATATTGTTATGACCTAATTAATATCTGTGTTCTCATCCGTATTACGTTACAGGAAAGTTTTGCCTTTAAACGAATGAGTATCCATTATATATGTGTATGTATATATAGATATTTATTTGTATATACATAGATACGATATCCATTCTATGTCTAGCATTCGCGCTTATCGATAATGAATAGTTCCTGTTGCTAAAGTAAATCGAGCGTATAAGTTACGTTTGATTCAACTCAGTGATTTTTCAAGATATTTATTCTTGGTGTTTCTCTTGATGTTTCAAATAAAAAAAAATATATCGTTTAATTGATGCTTATTAAAATTGATTCTTATTTAAATTGATTTCATGTTTATATGTAAATCTTATTGACATTAAATAGTTTTTAATAGCTTTGTTAATATAAGATGTTTTTATTGAACAGTAAGTATTGTATTTTTATAACAAAAAAATTAAAATAGATGTAGTAGATTTTATTTTTAATGACAACCTAATAATAAGATTTTAGAAATCTTAATTAAATATTTTTTCTTATATATGTTATAAATATGTTACAGTAGATAAATTTATTACAAATATTATCTTAAATTAGATATATTATAAAGTATACAAAAACATATACATAAGATTAAATTAATTTATTTTAAAATATTGTTATATATTATTATATATTTTAAAATATAATTATTTTATTTTACTAAATTATTTTGAAACATAATTCACAATTAATTAATATTTGTAATATAATAACAATACATAATTTAATAATTAATAAATATATTTAATTTTTGAAACAATATTAACCAATATGTATATAAATAGTATCATTTTCTTAAAAAGAATCCCTCATAGTGTTTAATGTTTATCTTTCGTATTTGTTACTAACATATTCCGTGAAAGAGGGAAACAATGGATGTAAATGTAACACAGTATGTATTCTCATTCAACGATGAAAATAGGAAAGAATAGTACGCTTGAATATAGTAAAATATGTCACGTGAAAGACGGATAGTAATCTAAACGCATCCTATTCTATCTCACGACTGGTTAGCACAGCAGAGAGAGTTTCCCATCGATGCGTCGTTGGAGAGTAGAGTAGGATGATCCTGTTAACAGGATCAAGACTTACGCTAGGTCGAAGGGTTCTTGTTATTCGCCGTTTTGCTTCTTCTTTCTTCTTTTTCTTCCTTCATCCGATCCTTAGGGATTTTTATTATCCCCCTCACGCGTACGTCAGAAAAGTATCTACGATTCTACTGTGTTAACCCGAATTCATTTATTTTACGAAATAATCGAATTAAATGAATTATTTCTCATCTTCCCACTTCTTTTTCTTATTTTTTTTTTATTTATTTTCTCGTTCAATATTTGACATCTAATAATAATAATAATAATTAATAATAATTGACGATTTGTTTTATACGATCGTGATATCATATTTTAAATAAATTTAATTTTATTCGAATAAAATATTTTTTCTAAGGGAAAAATAAAATATAATAATATTTTATACTATAACTATTATTTAAATTATAAT